GCCCCAGTCAGGACACCTGTAACACCAGCCACCTCCAAGCTGACCATTACAGCGGGCTATAAGCCTGCCATCAGCTCATGTTGTGAGAGGAGGCGTCCCCAAAGCCTCCCCGGTCCCTCACACCTGCCAGGCCACACAGATGTGACGTTACTAGACCATGTCTGAAGATAAACATTTGATTACAAAACTGGAAAATGTATTGCAAAAGAAAAGCATAAGGACACATATGTACACACTAATACACACACAATCACCTAAGAATTAGATTCTTTCTCAGCCGCTTTAGCAGCACAGCGAACAGAGTCCCACCAGCTCCTGAGCTCACGTCTTCCCCCGGCTCGTGCTAAAGCAGCCTGCAGGACTCTGCAGGCAGGGAAGGGCCCTGGGGCTCGTCCTGCTCTCCCTGGGCACCGGGGCTGCTGCACCAGCCCTGCCGCCTTCTCCAGCACCCCATGGCCTGGCACCCCACGGGCTCCGCCTGGCAGCAGCAGCATCAGCAGAGAGAGCTGCGAGGGGCAGCGCTCCCTCCTTGCCCGCACCTTCCTGGCCCTGCCGCTGCCCCTGTGGCGTTTGCGGTGGTGCAGGCAGCAGGGGACGGGCTCCGTGCTGCTGCAGCCTCAGCAGGGTAGCGGGCAGGGAGTACTCGGTAAACCTTATCTAAATAGTCTGTGGCCACACACTGTACGAGCCCTTTATCTTTGACCTTGCAGGCAGTGCTGCCCCGAGGCTGCGTGTGCCATCACTGCCTTGGTGCTACGCTTTTTTTCCTAGGGTTGCAGCTCCCCAATACACAAAATCTGACACAGTGGCAGGCCTGTCCCCAACCTCCCCGCCATGTATTCACAAATCTAGTGAATGCAGAGCAGCTTGTTGGCCTGACCAAGAAAAAAAAAAAAAGCTAATGCAGTCTAAGGAAAACAGTTTTCTATATGACACCTGAAATCATAGGAAATTTGGAGTGTCTTCTTACACGCTTTTGCCACACAGGCAGCGAAAGGGGCCTGCCTGCTGAGAGTCCTTCCCTTGCTCCACTGAGGGGAAAAAGATGTCCTGGCTGATTCTCCTCCTCTCTATCTGTGGCCATTCCTTCTCCTCCCATGCCTGGAAACAGACAGGCTGCCCCACGGTCATGAGCAGCCTTTCCCAAGGTTACTGAGGAAGCCCAGGGGATAACACAGGGGTTGGATGCTGCATGTGAAATGCCCCTTCTCTGCCCCTTGGCTCAGACACGCAAGTGCAGGGCAGGTTTTACCCCCACTACAGCCCTGCACTGCAGAGCCTCTCCAGCTCTTGCCTGACTGTTCCCCTCCCTTGCTTCCTGCACGGCCCTCAGGTTTCCTCTTTGCTGTTTGTCCTTCCAAGGTAACCCCATTCCCTCGAGCAACACAACTTCTTTACTGATGTAACATCTCCACTCATACAACAGCCCTGCAGAACAAGCCTGCCCGCCTTCACCGGCTCTCCTTTGTGTCTTGGACAGTACTGGGGCCTATCGCTTCCTGATGGAGGTGGGTAACAGCAAGGAGATTTATGTTTATGAGGCCAGGGCTGGCTCAGGATCTGCTGTCACAGCAACTGGGAGGAAGGAGGCAGATGTCAGATGTGATGTAGATTGACATGGAGGCCAGGGGCCAAAGCGCAGGCTACCAGCTTGGAGTTCAGCAACTCGGCAGCAAAGCACATGAGATGCAAAAGGAACAGATGCAGGAAATGGCATGGCTGTGTGCAATGACAGCACTCACTCGCAGGGAACAGTCAGCAGCAGGGGGTCTTTCCTGTACTGACAAAGGCAACAAAAAGAGGCTATTTCTCATACCAGCAGCATGCTCTTCCTGCTGCTTTTATGGAAAACTGGTGGATAGGATCAGCTGCTTGGCCAGGACTTGGAGCAATCAGCACAGGCCGGAAGGCCTGCAAGGACCCAGCTGAGGTAGTGAGGCCAAAGCAACCCTGCTGCGGCAAGTGCTTCTGCCTAGGACACAGCAGGAAGCCAGAGCCTGTGTCCCAGCTAGGGCAGGAGCCCGCACCAGCACCTCCTGGTGCCTCCCGGCACAGACAAGCAGGGACAAAGCTCCGCACGGAACCTGCTGTCTCTGAGGCTGCCTTGGCTCCTCCTGGGCACCCACCATCTCCCTCTCATGAGGCCGGTGGCAGCGCCAAACTGCTGCGCAGCGGCCCCACGGCACGGGCCTGCTCTGCACGGGCCCAGCAGAGCACAGGGGCAGCGCCAGGCCCAGCCCCGAGGCAGGCGGGGACTGCTGGGCCAGCTCTCCAACGGATGGCGCCGCGGAACTCCGTTACAAACAGCCAGGAGGAAGAAGCTACCAGGAATTTTTACCTGCCTGGTTCCTCCGTACAGTTGCTGTACGGAGCCGGGGACGGGAGCACAGGGAGAACCGCGGCGGCAGCGCGAGAGCCCCTGGCCC